ATTAGTGATGTCTGAAAAGTGTAAAAAAAAAAAAGAAAAAGAGAGAGAGAGAAAGAGAGCACCACAATCTATTAGTGATGTCTGAAATGGAGCAGACCAGGAGAGCACCCGTGAATGTTGTCCTCCATAGGTTAGTTCATCTCTGAGGTCCTTCCCTGCTCTGACATGCTTTTGTTCCATGGTTACCTCCAGCCTGGTGGGGAACAACATTGGCAGTGTGGGTGCCCAAGCCTTAGCACTGATGCTGGCAAAGAATGTCATGCTAGAAGAACTCTGGTGAGTTTGGGGGATTTTCTGCTCTGGGGAGGTGGATCACAATCTCTGCTGATCCCCTGGCCTCATCCATAGGAGCAGTTGTGTGGACGGACAAAGGTCAATGATTGAGTGATTGACTGATTGATTGATTGTGTTTGTCTTTATATGTACTGAGTGGTATGAAGCTTATAGAGCCTGGTATGTACATGCTAATTTTTTAATTTAATAAAATATATTGGTTTGCTGGTTTGATGACTGCCTCCACATGGCATAAGTGTTAAGAGCACAGACTCTGGAATCAAGCAGGCCATGATCTTAAGCAAGTTAAATAACAATTTCAGAATCTCAAGTTTCATGTCTGTAAAATGAGGGTAAGAATACTTCCAACCATAAAGGATTTTTGCAAGAATTAGATAAGGTAGTGCGTGTGAAGACCTTAATATAGTGTCTGGCATATTTGTAAGTGCTCCATAAATGTTAAATTAGAATAGTGACAGGGTTGCTACTACTATTGCTGCTGCTGCTGCTGCTGCTACAACTACTACTAGTACTGTGACTACTACTAATAATAAAGTTTTGTTATTTTAAAGTGAATTTGAGTTCCTAGGAGTACTGGGTGTTCAAGTCATAGGTCACTTTGGAAGGTATAATGGAGTTTTGATAGTTGAAAGAGGAACCATGAATCATGCTTATACTGTTGACCTGAAGCAGATTCTAAGTTTCTCATCCTTTAGATGCCACTAGTATAGTTTTCTGACATGTTCTGGGCAGTTTCAGATTATGTCAGGGAGATAAAATGCTGAATGTTTGATTTTCCCAGGAAGCAGAAAGGCACTGCAACATATGGGCATTGACATAAACAGATTTTGTGGATGGACCTCGGCTGTTGCAGGGCTTACTAGGTCCACTAAACTATGATTTGATTCTATCCTGACCGGATTTTGCCACTTGGAATTTCTTAGTAGAGGAGAACCTTATTGTGAGAGCATCAGTTATGATTCCTGTTAAAAGAAAAACTTCCGGCAAATTAAATTTAGCAGAGCTGATTTGAGCATACAGCAGTTTATGAATTGGGCAGCATTCAGAACTGGGAGCGCTTCACCCAGCAAGGTGGGCAAGCACTATCTACAGACAGGAAAAGGAAGTGATGTACAAAACAGCTTGATTGGTTGCAGCTGGGCACTTGCCTTGTTTGGGCATGATGTGATGAGGCGTTTTCCTTATATGGACATAGTCTGATCAGCTGGTAGGCTGTGATTGACTGAAGCCTGGCTGCTGTGATTGACTGAGACTTAGCTGTTTGTTACAAGGATATATCGTTAGGTTGCAGTTTGCCACATAGGAACTCAAAGTACGGAGGCAGTCTCAGGCCACATTTGGTTTAACTATACGTTAAGCTGCACGTGACAGAATACCTTCATCTATAGAGGTTTAAACAAGGAAAGGGTTTATTTTTTCCTGTATAGGCAGCTGGAAGTAGGCAGTGTAGGGTTTGTACAGTGGCTACAAGAGGCCAGGAGGGGTCTCAGCTCTGTCTCATTATCTTTCTGTTCCATCATCCTTAGCCTGTGACTTCATTCACGTGGTTGGTTGCCTCATGATCACAGGATGGCTGCTCCAGCTGCGGCACTACTTCTGTATTCCAGGATTTGGTCTATATACCAGGGAAAGCCATCTGCGTTTCTCTCCTTTAAAAAGCATTCCTGGAAGTCCCACCTGTCAGCTTCCCCTTTTGTATCAACCATGTGTATGTCACTTGACCAACCCACGTGTATGTTGTTTGACCAGCCCTGGCTGCAATGGAGAGTGGGAAATATAGTTTTTTCACCGAGTGCATGGCTGTCCAAATGAAATGAGACTTCCATTAATAAGGAAGAAAGGAAAGATGGATATTGGGAAGCTGGGGGATGAGGGAACTTATTACATAGAGAGCCCTTGGAGTGAATTCTCTTGCAAATATGTCCCTGGAATTGAGAATCCCCACAACGTACTTTATCTGTTCTTTCTTTATCCTGAGTTTGGGTTTTCAGATGTTGGATTTCCTATATGGGGGGCATGTGAGTTCATCTTTATTGACATCATCTTCCATAATCAATGTTATATCAACTGGATTTTCTCTCTTGTTCTCACCAGCCTGGAGGAGAACCATCTCCAGGATGAAGGTGTATGTTGTCTCGCAGAAGGACTGAAGAGAAATTCCAGTTTGAAAATCCTGAAGTAAGGAACCCATAAGCAGGAAACAGGACAATAATTGCTGATCTTTGGAAGGGGCATTTCTGACTAAGATCTGGGCAGCTCCCCGCTGGGGTAACTCACGTGTGGTGGCCTGGTAGAACAGCTTGCCCTGGTCTAGGTGGACAAGGATTCCAGCGCAAGTTGTTTATCTGGGAGGTGGTCCCAGTAAATGCTGATAGGAGAGTGGTGAAGTGAGATGGGAAAGCGAAGGTAACCAATAAAGGAGAGTTATCAAGAGAGTTATCAATGAGGGAAATTGGAGCTCAGTACTCTGGGGCACTCCTGGAGCCAGTGCAGAAAACACCTGGTCACCTACCCAACCAATGGGCAAGAAAGCCATGGCCTTTATCCACCAACCGTCTGTCCTTCCTGTGTTGACGTGCACTCATGGGGCACTGATTCTCTAGCACTTCCAGCTCACCCTCACCCAGCTAAACATGCTTCTGGGGTCAGGAGAATGGTCTTAGGCAGAGAGTGGCAAGTCTTTTCTGCAAGCAGTGGCTGGGGAGGTGATGTGATGGGGAGCACTGTGGCCTCCTCCAGTGGCTGACTCAGTGGCTTGGGACTTGTGCCACGAAGAGATGGACAACTGAGGTGAGCATGAACCCACCTAGTGACCATCACGGGCTTGTCAGGGTGCTCTCTGAGGCTGATGCCGAAATTCCTATTTCAAGGAGACCTCAGGAACCCCATCAGATGGCTCCTTTGGCTGGAGGAAAGTGTCATCTGCCTAGGCAAATGTGGTCCTAGGAAAACGCTTGCCATTTAGAAACAGACAGACAGACAGCTGCCTCTGTGAGTGCCAGCTTTGCTGCCAGGCTGCTATCCACTCTGGCAACACTTGTTTGTGTTGCTTTCACAAGCTAGGAAATTTCCAAATATTTGGTGAAAACACTTCCACTAATGATTTGGGTGGAAGTGGGCTGGGAAGTTGGGGTGAAGCCCAGTTATTGAGCCAGATGCCAGCTTTGCACTGAGGATAGGCCTTTGGGAATACCAGGCCCATTATTGACCAGGTGTGGATATGGCAGTTTTGTCTTCCCTCCTTGTCACAGCCTTACTCCACTTGACTCAAGTGGATGCCAGGCAATGAGGCCGGGGTTTGTCCCATGCCACCCTGTCATCAGCCTTATTATTCAGCATCCTAAACTATATCATCCCCCACAAAAATTGAACTTCTGATATATCTTTTTTTAAAAAGAGAAATTCCTGCATTTTTCTTTTCCAGGCTTAGTTTCTGCCAAGAGTTGGTTAAGAGTCCAGGCTTGCCAGGTGCAGTGGCTCACACCTGTAATCCCAGCACTTTGGGAGGCTGAGGCGGGTGGATCATCTGAGGTGGGGAGTTTGAGACCAGCCTGATCAACATGGAGAATCCCTGTCTCTACTAAAAATACAAAATTAGTCGGGTGTGGTGGCACACATCCGTAATCCCATCTACTCGGGAAGCTGAGGCAGGAGGATCACTTGAACCCGGGAGGTGGAGGTTGCCATGAGCCGAGATCACACCATTCCCCACCAGCCTGGACAAGAGAGAAGCTCCAGCCAAAAAAAAAAAAAAAAGAAAAAAAAAAAAAAGATGAGAAAAAAAATAATAATAATAAAAAAGAGTCCAGGTTCTAGAACCAGACAGCCTGGGTCTTACCCCTGCTCCACCATTACCAGCCAGTTCTTCTTGGATGAGTGCCTCAGTTGCCTCAAGTGTAAATGGAGATAATGTCTGGACCTTCATTACAGGCCATGAGCATTCACTGAGAGAATGTAGGTAACAAAAGTAAGTTGTAGGTTGGAGCAAAAGTAATTGTGGTTTCGGACCATGAATTTTAAATTATTATAACTAGGCTAAAATACATCTTTATTAATCAAAATAGGTATCATTATAATAAACACATTTTTTACCAATAAGAAATAAGTTTGTTTATTCCTGTAGCATAAAAATTCGTGCTTCGGGATTCGACAAACTCTTGGAAAGCATTTTCTGCATCCTGCTGGTTGTAGAAGCATTTTCCCTGCAAAAAGTCGTCGAGATTCTTGAAGAAATGATAGTCAGTTGGCCAGAGGTCAGGTAAATATGGCGGATGAGGCAAAACTTCATAGTCCAATTCATCCAACTTTTGAAGCTTTGGTTGTGCGACGTGCAGTCGGGTATTGTCGTGGAGAATTGGACCCTTTCTGTTGACCAATGCCTGCTGCAGGCGTTGCAGTTTTCAGTGCATCTCATTGACTTGACGAGCATACTTCTCAGATGTAGTGGTTTCGCCGGGATTCAGAAAGCTGTAGGGGATCAGACCAGCAGCAGACCACTGGTGACCATGACCTTTTTTTTTTTTTTGGCACAAGTGTGGCTTTGGGAAGTGCTTTGGAGCATCTTCTCGGTCCAACCCCTGAGCTAGTCCTTGCCAGTTATATAAAATCCACTTTTCATCTCATGTCACAATCAGATCAAGAAATGGTTCACTGTTGTTGTGTAGAAAAAGAGAAGATGACACTTCAAAATGATGATTTTCTTGGTTTTCACTCAGCCTCATGAGGCACCCACTTATCGAGCTTTTTCACCTTTCCAATTTGCTTCAAATGCTGAACGACCATGGAATGGTCGATGTTGAGTTCTCAAGTGGTTGTAAGAAGATCAGCTTTGATGATTGCTCTCAATTGGTCATTGTCAACTTCCAATGGCCTGCCAGCACAGCTCCTCATCTTCCAGGCTTTCGTCTCCTTTGCAAAACTTCTTGAACCACCACTGCACTGTACGTTCGTTAGCAGTTCCTGGGCCAAATGCATTGTTGATGTTGTGAGTTGTCTCCGCTGCTTTATGACTCATTTTGAATTTGAATAAGAAAATTGCTTGAATTTACTTTTTGTCTAACATCATTTTCATAGTCTAAAATAAATATAAAATAAACAGAAAGTATTAAGTCATTAGCAAGAAATCATAAAGTGAGAATTCTGCATTAAAACGATGTATAACATAACCACATTTATTTAAGAATGTATTCCAATATCAAATGGCAAATTTCAACAGTACAAAAACTGCAATTACGTTTACACCAACCTAATAGAAGCTCAACAAATACTGGCAATTACAAGCATTGCCTTAGGGTCAACTTGAAAGACGTTCCTAAAATTGTGGGAAAGGGGGAGGACCTGGAGTGGACATTATCGGAAGGCAAAGCTATAAGCAAAAGAGCAACATGGGAAACACATGACTCCTCCGTTACTGTCCCTGGCCCTATCCTGTCTCCCCTCCCTGTTGTCAGCTACCTCATATATTCTCTAATCTCTGTGTCTGTGCCCTCAAAGACCCCCCTAAAAATGGAAATATTACTGCTCATTGGTTATTTTCTATCAATTAAGTACTGTATTAGTCCATTTTCATGCTGATGATAAAGATATACCCAAGACTGGGCACTTTTTGAAAGGAAGAGTTTATTGGACTCACAGTTCCACATGGCTGGGGAGGTCTCACAATCATGGCGGAAGGTGAAAGGCACATCTCACATGGCAGCAGACAGGAGAAGAGGGCTTGTTCAGGGAAACTCCCCTTTTTAAAACCATCAGATCTCGTGAGACTTATTTACTATAATGGGAACAGGATGGAATTCAATTACCTTCCACTGGCTCCCTCCCACAACATGTGGAAATTCAAGATGAGATTTGGGTGGGGACACAGCAAAACCATATCGAGTACTGCGCAAGTGTTTTAGGTTTGCAGAGAGTGGTGGGTCTGCCCGGCAAGCAGAGTGTGGGGAGATAATGCCGGGACTGGTGGCTGACTTAATGGCCCGGGACCCATGCCACAAGGAGATGGATGGTGGATGTGAACAGGAGCCTGCTTACACCCATCACAATTTAGATTCTTATGCTTGATGACACAGGTACTCTTTTAGGCCCATTTTACCAATGAGGAAATTAGAACTAATTTGCTCAAGATCAAAAAAAGAAGTGGTGTAGGTGGGATTTAAACCCAGGACATCTAGCACTAAAATGCATGTACTTAACTACTATCCTAAGGGAGTGGCTACTTAATTTGATAAACTCATCTAGTGAATGGAAGAGAGATGGGTGCATTTCACTGATGGTACTAAGCCTTCGCTGATGAGCTCACTGGGAATCTCAGACATGAGTGGGAGGTGTCTAGGGGACAGGTGGGCTTCAGTAGGCTGGATAACTCCTGAAGTCTGTTTAACTGGACAGTTTCAAGAGGAAAACCAAGAATCCTTGAAGCTCACCATTCTATCTTTTTCTCCAGGTTGTCCAATAACTGCATCACCTACCTAGGGGCAGAAGCCCTCCTGCAGGCCCTTGAAAGGAATGACACCATCCTGGAAGTCTGGTAAGGCCCCTGAGCAGGCCTGCTTTAGCTCTCTGAGCCTCAGTTTTTTCTATCTGTAAAATGGGGTGGTGGGAGAGAGGAAAATTTCGAGGATCCTTCTGATTCTCACATTCAGGGAGAATGATTCTGCATGTGAGGGATCTGGTTCTCTGTCTAAGAAGTCTTTACATCTTTAAGTAGGAAGCAATGATTTCATTTTTAAACCTTGACTATTTATTCAGCAACTTCTGTGTTCTATGAGATAGTGTAGGAATGGGGATGTGGTTGAAGAATGAAAAGAAGAGTCAGCTCCTGCCCTCCTGGGAACTGCATCTGCCTTCACAGGTCAAAGATACTGGATCAGACCTTCTGTGGTTCTGAATGGAGGTTACACAGGTTAGGAGCAGGTTGCACAGTGTATCTAGTTCTCTATAAGAAAGCCATAGTCCTTCATGTATTTGAAAAAAGCAAGAATTGCATTCTTGACAGATTCTTTCGTTGCCTTAAAAAGAATGGCCTTGGGAGTCTGGGCAGCTGGGTCCAGTGTTGTGGACTTTCTCTCTGCTGAGCCACAGCTTCAAAGATTTGTTCTTATTTCCAGGGATCTATTTCTCAGACAATAAGTAAAGGTTTTCCCTGGCCTAATGTGCTATAAGTGAATGTTACTATGTATGTTCCAGGCACTGGGCTAGAGACTAGTATTTAAAAGCCAGGAAATTTCCTATAAAAAATCTGTATCTCAGGGTTTTCTCAAAAGAGCTGGGAACTCTGGATGCTCATTCATGATTCCAGTAGTTAACCAGAGTACAAGAAGGGCTAAGTCTTCTCAGATGGGCAAACCCACTCTGGCTGACTACAGATCCACCAAGCCTATTGCCTTAGACCAGGACCCTTTGGCAACTCATTTCCATAAGCTTGTCATCCCTGCTTTAAATATGGAGGCCTTGTCTTCTTTCAAAAAGCATACCAAGGCTGCAGCAAATGCAGATATCAAATGATGAAGTTAAACACAAAAGCTTTGCTGGGCGTGGCAGCTCATACCTGTAATCCCAGCCCTTTGGGAGGCTGAGGCAGGAGGATCACGTGAGGCCAGAAGTTCGACATCAGACCTCTTCTCTTAAAAAAAAAAAATTCAGCTGGGTGCGGTGTAGTTCCTAGCTACTCGGGAGGTTGGGATGGAAGGATCCCTTGAACCCAGGAGTTCAAAGCTGCAGTGGGCCACGATTGCATCACCGCACAGGCGACAGAATTAGATTCCCGTCTCTTAAGATGATAAAAAATTTAAAAGTGACTTCAAAAATCTATGCTGTGATGGAGAGATTTTTCCTTCTGTAAGATTGTGACATTTCTGTGGCCTATGACATCATCAGGTTCTGGGCAGAGCGTAGGTTTTCTGTTTCTTTGTTTTTGAAACCATTGCTCAGTCCTAAGAAACATCACATTCTGTGTCCTGGGCACCAGCCAACATCAGGTTGATATTTTAAGGGATCTGATGCTATTTGCTGCCTGTTGATGGAACTTGGGAGGGCACCAGGGTTTGCTCATTGCATTCTTGACAGATTCCCTTGTTGCCTTAAAAAGAATCACTGGCCTTGGGGAGTCTGTGGCTGGCTGGGTGCAGTGTTGTGGACTCTCTCTGTCTGCAGAGTCATGGAGCCTTGTTCAGAATGCTTCATGAGCTGCCCTGGTTGACCGAGGGTAAAACGGCCCTGACTTCCCTGCAAGAAACACTGCAGCTGGGCCAGAGGGTCAGCCCATGCCAGGCATGGGTTTAAAAAATGGACGCTTTTGTTTGAACGCCCTGCTCTAATTTTGTCCTCACTCAAACCTCTGTTCACTTGATCTCCTTTAGGCTCCGAGGGAACACTTTCTCTCTGGAGGAGGCTGACAAGCTTGGCTGCAGGGACACCAGACTCTTGCTTTGAAGTCTCCGGGAAGATGTTCATCTCAGTTTGTTTGTGAGCAAGCTGTGAGTTTGGGCCCCAGAGGCTGGGTGACATCTGTTGGCAGCCTCTTCAAAATGAGCCCTGTCCCGCCTAAGGCTGAGCTTGTTTTCTGGGAACACCATAGGTCGCCTTTATTCTGGCAGAGGAGGGAGCATCAGTGCCTTCCAGGATAGACTTTTCCCAAGGCTACTTTTGCCATCGACTTCTTCCCAAGATTCAATCCCAGGATGTGCAAGAGGGACAGCCCCTCCTCCACGGTATGGGGCTGGCCTCTACTGATCCTCCCAGGCTTCCATGTGGGTCAGTGGGGCCCATGGATGTGCTTGTTAACTGGGTGCCTGTTGGTGGAGAGGCCTGGACTATCACAAAAGACCCCTTCCCACTGCTCTGATGAAGAGGAGTGCGCAGAACACAATTCAGGAAGCAACTTTCTCCATGTCTCCACTCATCCATCCAGGCCATTCCCCATCTCTGGTTCCTTCCCTCCTCCTGGACTCCTGCACACGCTCCTTCCTCTGAGGCTGAGATTCAGAATATTAGTGACCTCGGCTTTGATATTTCATTTACACACCCCCAACCCTGGCACCCAGGGTGGGAAGGGCTACACCTCAGCCTGCCCTCCTTTCCGGTGTTTAAGACATTTTTGGAAGGGGACACATGACAGCCGTTTGTTCCCCCAAGACATTCTAGGTTTGCAAGAAAAATATGACCACACTCCAGCTGGGATCACACGTGGACTTTTATTTCCAGTGAAGTCAATTACTCTTCAGTTAAGCCTTTGGAAACAGCTCCACTTTAAAAAGCTCCAAATGCAGCTTTAAAAAATTAATCTGGGCCAGAATTTCAAACGGCCTCACTAGGTTTCTGGTTGATGCCTGTGAACTGAACTCTGACAACAGACTTCTGAAATAGACTCACAAGAGGCAGTTCCATTTCATTTGTGCTAGAATGCTTTAGGATGTACAGTTATGGATTGAAAGCTTACAGGAAAAAAATTAAGCCCTTCCTTCTAAGCAAATGTCTTCCTGGATTATTCAAAATGATACATGTCGAAGCCTCTGTAAATTGTCAGATGCTGTGCAAATGTTATTATTTTCAACATTAAGATGTGTGAAAACTGGTTAATATTTATAAATCACTTTGTTTTATTGTCTTAAGTTTATACTTTTATAGACAACATGGCCGTGAACTTGATGCTGTAAATAATCAGAGGGGAATAAAGTATTGAGTCAAAACAGCCATCTTCCTTGTGACCAAACATTTAAAAATATTCTGGCCAGGCACAGTGTCTCACTACTGTAATCCTATCACTTTGGGAGGCGGAGGTGGGCGGATCACCTGAGGTCGGGGGTTTGAGACCAGCCTGACCAACATGGAGAAACCCCGTCTCTACTAAAAATAGCAGAGGTTGCAGTGAGCCGAGATTACACCACTGCCCTCCAGCCTGGGCAACAAGAGTGGAACTCCGTCTCGAATAAATACATAAAATAAAAAATAAAAATATTCCTAAAGCTTATCAAATTTTAAAGCACAATTTTCTATTTGAAGGGGGGGGAAAAATGATATTTTCAACCCGATCTTGTATAGCTTAAGGCAAAAGCAATTCTTAGAAAATAACCAGGCAATCAAAACACTTTTGGCTTCAGTTTAGAAAAATTTAACCCGGTGGAGTTTTCAGCTGTGCAGGAGCCGCCCCATACCCAGCCTAAAAGGCTGCAACACATGTGAAAAGGCCCCTTGGCTGCCCTGCATTCCCTCAAAGTGGCTCCAGGAGTCTTTAACAGGAGAAAGATGGAGAAGGTTTACCTATGGCTGGCTCTCCACAGCGAGCAGCCTCTCATGCAGGCCTTGTGTTAAAATAATGCTTAGCTGCGTTTAATGAGCAAGGGATCAGGTGGTCGCCCAGCAAGGTGAAATGCTACTTCCTTGAAATTTCTCTTTAAATTTCTCTTATAAGGAAACTGCGATTGCATTTGTGCGTGTCTGGCTTACTCGGTGTTGCGGCATCTCCCTGGACCCTGTGTGGGAATGTGTCTGTGGGTTTTCTTTGTGATTGGTGCTGTGTTCTGCCCAGACCACTGTTTCTAATATAGCAGATCACGAGGAAGGTGGTGATGAGTCTCCTTTCGCTGAGGTGAACCCACAGCAGCCCATTTGCATAGCACTATATTGGGTTGCCAATTTGTCATCTTTAAATTCATTCAGCAATGAGGTCAGGCATGGTGGCTCAAGCCTGTAATCTCAGCACTTTGGGAGGCTGAGGCAAGTGGATCACTTGAGGTCAGGAGTTCAAGACCAGCCTGGCCACCATGAGAAACCCTGTCTCTACTAAAAATAGAAGAAGAAAAAAATAAGTTAGCTGGGTGTGGCAGCGCACGCCTGTAATCCCAGCTACTTGGGAAGCTGAGGCAGGAGAATCGCTTGAATCTTGGAGGAGAAGGTTGCAGTGAGCTGAGATCATGCCGCTGCACTCCAGCCTGGGCGACAGAGCGAGACTGTCATAAATTAATTAATTCATTAATTCAGCAATGATTTATTAACCAGTTATATAAGGGCGACCAGTGGATGGACAAAACAGACATGGTCCTCAAGGTGCTTAGGTGAGGGTAGAGGGAGAGGCAGGCAGAAAACAAGTCAGTTGAAAAAGATATGAAAAAATCTTCAGCCAGGCACTGTGGCTCATGCCTGTAATCTCAGCACTTTGGGAAGCCGAGGTGGGCAGATCACTTGAAGTTGGGAGTTCGAGACCAGCCTGGCCAACATGATGAAAACCCGTCTCTACAAAAAATACAAAAATTAGCCGGACATGGTAGCAGGTGCCTGTAATCTAGCTACTTGGGAGGCTGAAGCAGGAGAACTGCTTGACCCCGGGAGGCAGAGGTTGCAGTGAGCTGAGGTCACACTACTGCACTCTAGCCTGGGCAACAGAACAAGACTCTATATCCAAAAAAAAAAAAAAAAAAAAAAAAAGTCTTCAGGCTGTTGACGGCCTGGTCCGAGACAGGTTGTCTGAGGAGGTGCCAGGTAAGCTGTGTCCCCAAGAATGACAAAGATATGGCCAAGCAAAGAGTGAGAGGGAACAAGGGAGCATTCTAGTCATGGGGGACAAGCAGTACAAAGACCCTCGTGGGGGAAGGAGCCTGGTATGCATGGTAGGCTCAATAGTCACTCCCAAAGATACGTAGATTCTAATTCCCGGGACCCTGGGAATGTTGCCTTACATGGCAAAAGGGACTTTGGAGGTGGGATTCAGTTAAGGGTCTTGAGATGGAAAGATTATCCTGGATTACCTGGATGGGCCTTAAATGCAATCGCAGTTTCCTTATAAGAGAAACTTAAAGGACAATGTAAAGCAAAGGGAAATATGACACCAGAGAAGAAAACAATGTGATCACCAAGTAAGATGCTACACTCCTGGCTTTGAAGGTGGAGGAAGGTGCCATGAGCCAAGGATTGCAGCTCTAGAAGGTGAAGAAGACCAGGAAATAGATTATCCCCTAGAACCTCCGCAAGCCACATAGCCCTGCCTGCCTTGGCTCCAGCCCATTTTGGACTTCTGACCTCCAGGACTATAAGGGAATAATTTGTGTCGTTTCCTGCAGCAGCCGTAGGAAACTAATACACTATGTTGGAGGCAAGCTAAGGGAAAGGTGTCACTAGATGAGTTTGCAGAGGTAGGTAGGGACAGTTCAGGAAAGGTGTCACTGGCCACAGTCAAGAGTTTGGTCTTAGTCTTGGAATAACATCAAGGCCTTGGAAAGTTCTAAGCAGGGGAGATGTGAACCAATTTACAGTTAAAGAAGACCTTCTTTGCTCCTGGGTGGAGATGGGACAGGAATATGTAGGGGTGGGGATGGGAGGCAGAAGAAGTGGGGAGGCTGCCTCAGAGCTATTGCAGGTGAGAGGCGGTTGGCATGGAGGTGGAGAGAAGAGGATGGATTCCAGAGACATTCTGGAGGTAGATTCCCAAGAGCCTACGAATGGGTTGGATGGGAGGGATGAGGGAATGGCAGACATCAAGGATGACTCATAGATTTCTGACTTGAGAAACTGGGGGCTTGGGAAAGTTGGGTGGGAAACCAGTTTGGAAGTGGGAGGGAGTTCTGTTTTGAATTGTCAAGTTTGAGACACCGAAATGGAGAAGTTAAGTGGAGACGTCAAAAGATGGTGTGAATTTGGAGCTCATGGGAAAGGTCACAGCCAGAGGTAACAGCGTGGGCGTCCTTAGTGTCAAACTGAGAATGGGGCCCTTGAGTCTGGATGACATGAGCTAGAAAGAGATTATGGAGAAAGAAGAGGTCAAGAGGGCCTAGGTAAGATGGTACTGAGATCTTGATATGTGATTCCTGGTAGAGTTCAGAATAGGAGAAATTCCCCAATTTTCAAAAGTCCAGCGGATACCACCAAAAGCCTCCTGGGCCAGTGTAGGGAACTAGGGAAGTAGGATTCTTGATTGTAAGCTTCTCTGATAGAAAAGTTACCTGAAAGGTACATGCTCATGGCCAGAAGTTTATCCATGAGCAGACAGATTCGTTTTGCAGCCAAGAATACATAATTCTCATGCACAGAAAAACAAGGTATTAGAGCAGAACTTTAAAAACAGCCTCAGACTTTCATAATATTCACCGCCATCCCGGACGAAAAAGGATGCCAATCTGAGGGCCCTTCCCTCCCCATAGCACCAAACAAAAAGCTGAAATGAATACACCCCACAGAAATGTGAGAGGTGGAGTCATATTCCAAGCGGCTGAGCTGAGGCTAACCCTTCATTCCATTATTGTACCAGGACAGCTTCAAGCCTCCTTCTTCACTCGGGTGAGTGGTCCAGCCCAGTGTGTGAGGCGCCCAGTACTCAGGGCAATGCCTGGCAGTGCCTGGGCACAAGAGAATGCGCTGCCTCAGGCCCTGGGTGGAGGGTTCCAGGTGAACTGTAAGGTCATAAAGGACATTTGCCCTGGAGAATCACAGGCAGAGATCACAGCAGGGAAGACCGGCAATCCAGGTTCTTTGATTGGCTTCCCTTGGACAGTTTTTTTCCCTCTAAATTTAATCACAACCTATTATTATTTCCTGAACAATCCACAGATCCAGTCCCCTAAGCATCACCACTCCCCTGATCGCTCATCCTGAAAATGCTTCTTTTCAGGGGTGCTACATCTCTTTCTGCTTTGTAGCAACTTATCTCTTGATATCTTCAGTTCCACATCCCCTTGCACCCCTCCCTCTCTCCTCCTCTGCCTCCACCCCCAGGAAACAAGGGGTTCCCTTTGGGATCCATCCTTGCCTGGGTTACTGCATCAGTCTCCCTGTTACTGCCTTTGACATGAAGCGTGAACCTATTAAAACATAAGTCAGATCAGCCACTGCTCTGATGTAAACTCTCCAGGACTTCTCATCTGGTGCAGGGTAAAAGTCAAGGTCTCATCTGACTTGGACCCACTGTGTCCTCTCTGGCCTCCCCTTTGCC